ATCTCTGCGCCAGCGCCTGGAGCCCCTCCTGCCCCTCCTTCTGCACTGGCCTTGGTGTCTGCAGGGTCATTTCTCTCTCGTATTCTCACTCCTCCCTCTGGCTGCAGTTGCCCAGCTTTTTTTCCCCATTCTTAACTCTGTTATCCCAGAGGTGCTACCAACCGTCCCTGATGGGCTCAGCCTTGGCCGGCAGCGGGTCCATCTTTAAGCCCTGGACGTAGGGGAAGCTTCTAGCAGCTTCTCACTGTAGCCCCCCGGCTACAAAAACCTTGCCATGCAAACCTAATACAACCCTGTTTCAACGGCCACAGGTAAGATGAGCACGTGTGCTGCCCCTGCGCTCGCTTCGGCAGTGCCCTTGCATGTGCCCAATGCGCCTCACTCAGAGCCCAACCTCTTAATATCCCAGCTCTGCTAATGCTCCTACTATTGACTTTCTTGGGGGGGTGGGGTGGGGAGTAACTTTTGCTCTTTTTATTTTTTTGATGTTAGAGATTCACGTATGTTCTGCCCCAACCAGAAATCTTTCAAGCCATACCTGTCTGGGATATAGAGTAAGATGGAGGAAAGAGAAACGGCAGAAAATCCCTCCACCCCCAACCCCAGTGCAGTGCCAGAGCAGCTCGTGGAGGGAGCGGGCACGAAGGCTGAGCGCTGGAGGTGAGAGAAGCATCAGAGGACATGGGCAAACTACCCAGGAATAGGCATTTGCAACCGAGCCAAAGGAAACATCTGTTTAAACCCAGGTGTTTAAAGTTCCAGACTTTAAAGTTACAGACTCCCCAGCCTGGTGAGGCAGTGGAGATGCCCATTTTTATAGCTGGAGACAAAAGGAGGTAGAGCATCTTTTGTGGAGAGACTAGGAGCTCTTTCAGGGGGCGTAGATGACGATTTTGTGGCCTCTTAGGTGGTCGTGCGGTGAGGTGCGAGGCTCTCGCAGGGACAGAGGAGACCTTTGTGGAACTGGGAAGGGAGCGGCCCATCCCTTCCGAAAGCCCAGCTGAAGCATCCCGGCCTTCGGGAAGGGGTTCTGCTGGCCTGTGGGGACCTCTAGCGTGAGATCTGGCCTTGCACGGGTCTCCCTTCGGTGGCATGCGTTTAGGCTTGGGGGAGGAAACCGGGGTCTAGGGGAAAATGGAGATGGGCTGCATGGTTTTTCTCCTGTCCCTCGCTGTGACACGGGCTCCGGGCGCGCTGGCGGTGGGTGCCACGGCTGCGCCCTCGCTTCTAACTGGCCGTCGCTCGGGCTTGGGCGTCCCCAGCTGGTTTTACACGCAGAGCTGCGCTTCGTACCTTCTTGCAACCCTTCCAGATTTAACCTGTAACTCCACCTGTGGACCAACCCTGCTGCCTTTATACCCAGTGGACCTAGCCTTTAAAAATCCAGGTGATGACACAACCATCTGTCCCGTAGGGCCAGAAGAAATGACGGATGCTAACAGCTCTGCGTTCGGATGCAGTCCTAATGCCCCCGCAGCGTTTTATAAGGCACTTTCCCCACCTCGCCTGTCCCTGGGGGGCCTGCCTCCTGGGCATGGGTGGCCGGGCATCAGCTGCCTCGTCAGCCTGTTCCCTTCTCTCTGTAGTCCTCTCCCCCACTGCTCTCAGAATCACAGCATCGTTAAGGCTGGAAAAGACCTTTAAGTTCATCAAGTCCAACCATCAACACCACACCACCAAAGTGCCACATCCACATGTTTTTTGAACGCTTCCAGTGATGGTGACTCCACCACCTCCCTGGGCAGCCTGTTCCAATGCCTGACCATCCTCTCAGTGAAGAAACTTTTCCTAATACCCAATCTAAACCTCCCCTGGTGCAACTTGAGGCCATTTCCTCTTGTCCTATCGCTGGTTATTTGGGAGAAGAGACCAACACCCACCTCACCACAACCCCCTTTCAGGTAGTTGCAGAGAGCGGTAAGGTCTCCCCTCAGCCTCCTCTTCTCCAGACTGAACAACCCCAGTTCCCTCAGCCGCTCCTCATAAGACTTGTGCTCCAGACCCCTCACCAGCTTCGTTGCCCTTCTTTGGACACGCTCCAGCACCTCAGCGTCCTTCTCGTAGTGAGGGGCCCAAAACTGAGCCCAGTATTTGAGGTGTGGCCTCACCAGTGCCGAGTGCAGGGGCACGATCACTTCCCTAAGTGACTGCACTCTCCGTCTCTGCTGTCCATCTGTTGGTCTTTCTCAGGTGGTTTCCAGCTGCCAGCTGGAGTAGGCAGGTCTCTGTGTGCACGTGGGTACATCAGTGTCTCCCACTGGGCATCAGGGACCCTCACCAGGGCAGGGACCCACGAGCCATGGGGGACGCCTGTTTTCGGAAACGGCTGTGGCAGCTCTCATTGGTGTTTCAGGAGGTTGCAACCAAGACGTTTTGTAAGAAAGCTTGCAAGAAAGCTGGCGATGTAGTCAGAAAATCATGACATGCTTTTTCCTGTGCACACAATTTTGTGGCACTCACTTTCTCTTGCTTCTCTTTGCTCTACAAAATGCATCTTCCTTCCTTTTTTCTGTCCCCTCCTCTTTCTTCTTTGCTATTTTCCTGTGGCTACAGCTACTGATGTGGGATGGTTTTACCTTTTCCCCCCCTTCTTTGCCACCTGGGGGGAGTGCAACTATTTTCTATTCTTCTATTTCACCTCTTTTCCCCCAGTCTAGCTCCAAAACTAAGGATGATTAAGGCACTCAGTCATTCTTTGGCTAGATTGTTCTCGAGGCTTATTTGCGATTTTATTTGGGGAAATACACATCCAGCAGTCACCTGAGTCTTCTGTAGCCCTGGGTCCATGGGGTCTTTAGTGCTAGGAGAGGGGAAAGGACAGAGTCAAAACGTCCATGGACGATGAGAGTCTCCTGAGCAGGGGTTTATATTTACATATCGCCATTTTCTTGAATAAAATACTACCAAGGGGATTTTTTTTTCCCCTCCTCTGCAAATAGAAGTTTTAATAGAGTCTCTGCCAAAGGTTATTGCCATGTGGTGGTTTTTAAATGGGGAGGGAAGACTCTTAAGCACATCTGTTTGGGGGTTTTGATGTCTTCTTTAAACAACAGGTTATTTTTTTCTAAATAACATTTTCCTAAATTTTTCCCAAGATACTATTTATGCAGATTTAAAAAAAAAGATAGTTAGTGACAATGTTCATTAAGCAAAACTACCTCCCAGTGAAAGTGAAAAACAGAGTATTTTGATACTGACTCTTGATTGAACAGTTTAAAAAATTTTTTTAAGGAGCTTTGCTCCGAACTCTGTGAAAGGCTGTTTTTCTGCATGCCTTTCCTCCTTTCCCAGCTGGCTGAGTGTCGGAGATGATGGCAGCCCACCGAGAGCCCGGGCAGAAGGCGGCTGCTCTAAACAGGATTTAATAATCGGGCCGGAGGAGGTGCATCGGCACGTGGTGGGGACTACACTTCCCGAGAGGCCCCGCTGTGGCCATGCCTCCTTTTGGTGGAAACCCGGGCTTTATCAAGAGCTGGAGGGACCAACTGCCAGCTCCTTCTGGGGACAAGCAGCCATGGGACTGAGGTGCGGGATGAGGACCACCAAGTGCCAGCTGCTGGTGACCAGCCTCTGTGTCATGGTGAGCAGGCAGGGTTGGGCGGGGGGGGGGTGTCTCTGCAGAATTGAGGTGACTGGTTGCCTTTCCCGTCTCGGCTCGGAGAGGTTTTCCCACGTTCTGTTTTTCGCGGGCGGAGGGCAAGCAAAGCCAACTGCCCGCGTTATCGTTGCGCCCTGGGCGGTTATCGCAGCCGCCAGCATCGCCCCCTCCTCCGCTGATAGACTTCTGGTTTCTCAGGGCTGTCACGCCGCCGCAGCTCTTTCACAACCCGGCGGCCGCCTTGAAGGAGAAAAGGAAGGTCGCTGCCGGCAGAATGGGTGGTTTTCAGCGAAAAGATGTTTGCTCCTGTCTCCGTGGAGGAAGAGAGGGAGGATGGACCGGCTGCAGTCGCGCCTGTTGCTGTGGGGGTGGTCAGCTGCGGGTGGGATCAGCGAGGATACAAAACCGCAAGGCTTCGAGGGAAGTACGTGCGAGAGACCTGTGGACCCGCACCGCAAAGCGAAAGCAATTCTAGGGATCCTTTTTAGCTGCTTTTGAAGCAAATTCCAGCGGAGCTTCTTGGCATCTGCTGTTAGAGCCGGTGGGAAATGGGGGAAGCCGGGGAAGGCTTCTCTTGGATGCTTTTGAGTTGTACGTGCTTGTTGCCTTTTGACTTCATCAAAACTTGCAAGCTTAAAAAATAATAACAATCCATATTTAGTTCAAAGAGGGTTGGTGGCTTGGAAAGAGAGTAATTAAAAGGTAATACCTTCTTTTGGGCCACACGTGAAATTTATAGTTTGCCCAAATTTCAACATTTAAGAACCGTTGGCTGTAGTGGCTGTACGTTGTTCTCTCTTCCAAATAAAAAAGTATGTCGTTTGGAGGAAATCAAAGGAGGATTGGTACCAAACATTTTTAGAGGAGATGTTAAGGCACAGCCACCATGGATAGCTAGAATCACGTTATTGCTGCTGGGAGGATTTTAACACTGGTGTTTCTCAGAAATCTGAGCTAACCGGTGCTGCACTTAGCATTTTGCTGGGCGTGGGCCGAGATACGCAGTAGTGCACAGCATGGAGGATCAGTAGGTGCCACAAATTAGGTTATTTATAAGGAGAAAATCACAGAATCACTAAGGTTGGAAAGGACCTTCAAGATCATCAAGTCCAACCATTAATCCAGCGCCACCATGTTCCCTAAACCATGTCCTGAAGCGCCACATCCACACGTTTTTTGAACACTTCCAGAGATGGTGACTCCACCACCTCCCTGGGCAGCCTGTTCCAATGCCTGACCACCCTCTCGGTGAAGAAATTTTTCCTAATATCCAAATGCTACTGTTTGGATGTGTTTAGTCTCTGAAACTATAAGTCTCCAGCAAAAGCTATTAGAAAACTTCATACAGTGGGAATTATGTTGACACCGGACTGTCACGTTTGACACAGGGATAGTTGCCTTGAGTTTCTGTACTGTAAAGGCACAAAATGATGAAACCTTATCTTAGGAGCTAGGAGTGGCTTCACATCTCGTATTTTCCAGGTTTGTTACACTGGAGTTGGAGCTGTTTTTAGCTGTCCCGCTGTTGGTGCCTCCGTCCCAGCTCTGCCACTGGTTGTGCTGCAAGGAGCCCTGCCCTAGAGCCAGGGGCCATTAGAAATGTTCCTCCTCCACCACCTGGACTTGCTCTGGGCGACACGGAGGGTAATGTGCTGGTAGTCAACCCGTGGGCGTACCAGTGCTCTCAGGGATGGGACAGAAACACGGATGGCCCAGCAGCATGTCGCGGAGGCAGAAGCCAGCACAGATGACTTAGAGTAGCGCAAGGCTCGGCTCTTTGCGCTCTACAGTAGGAAATAGAGCCAACAGCGGGCAACGGGACTCGCACTGCAAAGAGCAAAGCAGGGAACATCATCCCTGCCCGAAACCGCTGTGGAAGCTGGCAGCCCCCATAAGTGCACGTGCGTACTCTGCAGAGCGGGGTGGGCCTGCGCGGGTGTGCTGCAAGGGCATCGATCCGCTGGGTTTTCTTCACGTGGTGGGAATTTCATCCATGGGCACTGGCCAAGAGACCGTGGGCCGTGCGGTGTCACGTGCACTCATTATGCAAGAGAGAAAAAGAGATTTAGTATGTTCAAGTGTCTGGGGTTTGTCCTTTTATGTGCATTTTGGGGTACGCACAGTGGTCTTTGGATGATCAGGCGGTCTGCATCTGCGTGGGGCTCAGGAGTATCCAGATACACCTCAAAGCTTTGTGTGCTCTCAGCAGGAGCTGCTGCCTTGTAAATCCCTTCCTAAAAACCTTCTTTTCCAGCTGCTGGGCTTGTCCGTTGCCACGCTGAGCACAGTCACCCACTACGGGCTCCACTTCACCCTCATCAGCAACATCTCCCTGGAGAACAACTCCTACAGGCTCATCCACCACGCAGGTATGATGCGGTCGCATCCCAGTGAGACCTTCGGTGAACCCGGGAGCTGTGAAGCCCCCTAAAGCGGTCGAAGGAAATGCAGAGGCATGGCGGGAGGAGGCAGGGGCTGGCTTTTGGAGGATCAATCAGGACTAACGCAGTCCCGCGGGCACTTTTTGTCTGTATCGGACCCGCGCGCGCCTGGCACCGGAGGGTGCTGTGGGAGCACAGGCTGCCCAGGTGCTGGTGCCTGCGCTCCCGTCCCTCATGTTCACCGTCTCCCCATCCCGCCCCAGTGCTGCGCTGAAGGCTCGGGGAGCTCAGCCGCAGGCAGACCTAAAGGTGCAGTGGGGCTGGAAGGGCCCCGGGAGCATGGGGAGAGGGGCTGTTGCAGGAGTTGAAGCAGAGGATGGAAAATTGAGGCTGGGAGGAGAAATGCATGGAAACATCTGCTTTTAGGGGGAATGTGGGGGTTTTTTCCCTACGCAAGGGAGAAATGTAAACTGAGTCTCGGGTAGAAGGCTAGAGCGAAGAGATGAGAAGAGCCCAGCTACTGAACGCTCTGCTCACCTCTGCTGCGCTCGCATCTGCTGCTTCTCCCAAGCTATGCTCTGGACTCCAACACGCTCGTACCTTCTCTAGATCCTGGTTCTCCATTTCAGTTTAACAAGGCAGGCGTAAAAACTCCTGTTAGTCCAAAGCTCAGGTACAGCCCTCCCCCTTCCCCACACACACCAGGGGCTGTATAGATTGGCCCTTAATCCAGCCTTGCAGCCTCTCCCTTCCCGGC